TCACAACTGAACAATGGACTAAGCCTTGAATTGATAGTTTTGTGTGAGGTGAATGTCACTAAAGTCCTTAGCTGATACTAGGCTGCAAAAGGCATCCCCTCTATTTGAAGCATATAAGTCATACTCCAGTGCCTTTCATGAGTATTTAGAGATCACCCAAATCTCATAGAATGTGACCAGCAGTTTGACTTATATAGGTGTGTTCCTCAAAAGATCTTCGGTAGGACAACATATTTGCTTTAGCAAGCCACTTGGAACATAGTAAGGTAAAAAAACAACCTGCCTTACAGAAATGAAAGATATGCATCAGAAATGAGTCTTACTAAGGATCTTTCCTCACAATTTACTACTAGCTTGTTTCACCATCCTACTTCATGGGATCTCCGATCACATAGTCAAAGGTCATAAGGAACCTGTTCCTACACCTTATGACCCTAATGTGTATTGAGGAAAATCGAGAATAGCAAGAGATCAATTGAGATATTCTAGATCATTGGTTGCCATGTATCTTGCTAGTGCAACAAGGCCAGACATCTCATTTGTTGTGTGTAAGCAGATTGTTTGATGTGTCAAACATGAGATGATCAACGCGGCGTTCTCTAGAGAGTGATGCGCAATCTAAAAGGCACTATGAGTTATGGTATTCATTATACTTAACATCAAGGTGTGGAATGCTATTGTGATGCCAACTAGATCTCCGATGTTGATGAGCTTTATGCCACAAGTGGATATGTGTTTTATGAGGTGGTGTCTGCTTCCTAGAAGTCTCAAAAGGTATCTATCTTAATGAACCTATAAATCTACAATGAAAGCGTAACTCACAAAGATTAGACACACCGGCCTCGAGGCCTAGTGGCTTCGTGATCTCCTTATGGATTTACCGGTTGTTGAAAAACCCATACTAGCTATTTCTATGAACTACGATAACCAGACTATGATTACGAAGGTTAACAGTTCTAAGGATAACATGAAGTCCACAAGGCATGTTATGAGACGACTAAAATCTGTCAGAAAATTGAGAAACTCTGGAGTAATAGCGTTGGACTATGTTCATACGTCTAACAATCTGGTAGATCAATTCACTAAGGGTCTGTCACACAATGTGATTGAAAGTGCATCGAGAGACATGGGTTTGAGACCCATATAAAATTTACTATAATGGTAACCTGTTCTATGTGATCGAAGATCCCGTGAAGTAGGATGGTGAAACAAGCTAGTAGTAAATTATGAGGAAAGATTCTTAGTAAGACTCATTTCTGATGCATATCTTTCCTTTCTGTAAGGCAGGTTGGTTTTTTACCTTGGTGTGTTCCAAGTGGCTTGCTAAAGCAAAGATGTTGTCCTACAAAACATCTTTTGAGGAACACACCTATATGAGTCAGACTGCTGGTCACAGTCAATGAGATTTGGGTGATCTCTAAATACTCATGAAAGGCACTGGAGTATGACTTATATGCTTCAAATAGAGGGGATTCCTTTTGCATCCTACTATCAGCTAAGGACTTTAGTGACATTCACCTCAAATAAAACTGTCAATTCAAGGCTTAGTCCATTGTTCAGCTGTGACTGAGTGAAACTATTGCTCTAGATGGATGTTCAAATTAACAGTCTCCGTCGAAACACTGGTATATAAAAGAAATGTGGTTCTAAGACTACTTTGTTACAGACCCTAGAGCTTAGTGGGGATTGTTGGTTATATTATGGGCTTGGCCCATATAATATTTAATAAATCAAATAAAACTCTATGGTCTGTAACATTAAGCGTTGTATGGTTTAATACCGTACGGGATTTTGACTGAACGTTGACTCAGCTTATTTGGTCGGAAATTATCCATCTTAATTGAGGAGCTGAGAAAAGGACACAGGAGTGCCACACGCGCGCGCGCTGCCACCGCCGCCGCCGCCGGCCGGGCTGGGCCGGGCCAAGGCCGTGGGCGTGGGCGTGGCAGGTAGGCAGGCGGCGAGCGAGTGGATGGGCGGGCGTGGCCAGGTTTTGGCACTTAATCCATATAATTACGGGAATTCTCTCTTTTATGGTGGAGGCGAGTTGATTGCGTCAGTTACCGTATCTTTGTGTCTCCATCTCCTGAGTTCCTCGGCTGGCTTTCTCCCTCCCTGCAGCCGGCATAAAAGTAGAAGTCCTCCGTCAGTCCAATCTTCCCTTCGCTCTCGAGAGACCACATCTCAGCCGCCCTTTGGTTTTCCCCGCCCCGTACCTCTGCGCGCACGGAGCAACGGGAGAGCAGGTGCCTCCGGAACCCTCGTCCGCCTGCGAACCTTGCACACGGTGTGCGGCGATTAGGTTTTTGGGGAGCGATTCCGCGACTGCTCGTCCACGTCGCACACGTCTTCTTCTTGGTGATCGCTCGCGGAACAGCAAGGTGTCTTCTTCCTGGTGACCGTTTCTGGGACTGCACTGTGAACACCTTTCTGCATTGACTATGGTCCACGACTTCGAGCAACGCACTATGTCTGGTGTGAATGGAGCCTCCGATGCCCTTGGTATGGGACCCTCCGCTGGGTACACTCTTAACTCTCTAATTACCGTACTTTGTGTTCTTACTGTATCGATCGGTATGTCATACTTGCATGATGTAGCGTTTGTTAGTGATATACACATATACATATATGTCGTCACAAACCTGCTGATGTTTTATTTCTGGATTAAATTGACCATGAAAATGCCTAATTATCTAACACTTTCAGCTGTGATTGCTGGTTGACCATACCAATAAATTGGAATTTGAGCCTCAGCCCCCTTGACATGATTCTACAAGCCAAAGCTGATTTTGATAATGCTGTATTTAGGGAAATTCTTATAACATGGTGTTGAATAATCTAGTGTACAAGAAACGGTGTCATCTTTGACAATGGAAGAGTTGATATCAATGAATGGAAGAGACACTTCAAGAATGAACTTGGCCTGGTATGTACCAAGGCCAAGCCGGCTAGGCAAGCATCCATTGGTTCTTGGAGAGACAGCTATATATGTAATTTGAGAGTTTTTTCTTTTGGGCCTAGTTGCCTTGTACTTTTCTTTTCGCTCTGGTTTGCTCACTGTACATAACATTCTTTCATTTAATTGAAAAAAAATAGGTAGGGATTGTCATGCTGATTTGGTTAAAAAAAACTTATGAACAACGAACACGTAGATAAGAGCAGCCCTTACAACTTTGGCATTAACTATGTGAACATTCAAGTTCATTTAGAAATTATAAATTTTAAAATTCAAATATATAAACTTAAAACACATATTTGTGATTCTAAAAGAGTTCAAATAAAAAACTTGTCAACTACAAAGATGTAGATTGTATTGCTAAGAACAACTTCCGTATAAATCATGTCAACATCCGAGGTTTTTCGAAAATTTTAAATTTTAAATTTCAAAATCCATAAACATAAAACAATATTTTGGGCCTCTAAACAATTTGAAAAAAAAAACTTGTCAACTACAATGTTGTATATCACGTCGAGAGCTACAATTCTGTCTCATGGTATGTATAGACTTGACCCGTCTCTATGTGGTGCTCATAGTTAGATATTGGACATAATTTGTTAAAAGAAAACCATAATCTTGGGAGAAACTCTTTAATTGGGTTTAATCTATGGGTACATATATCATTTGAGTGTCACTTTAAGTTGTCTTAAAATTATTGGAGTACATTGTATTATAGGGTGAGGGAGTACATGTGAACCATAGTCTAACCTTTCACCCAAACTATCCATACTAATGAGCCATATAATTAAGCCTCAAGATCAATTTTTAGAGTTGGTATTTAAAATCGTTACTACACCATCCATTGCAGAGATTCTTATCTTATACAAATAAACATCATCAGTCCTAGCCTCAGACTTGCACCAGCATTGTAACATTGATGGCTTGTTAGTAGGTCAGTCTCCAAATAAATCAATTACTAGAATCCGTCCCAGTCAAACCTTTTAAGTTTGACTAACTTTATAGAATAGAGTAACTACATCTAGGTCATAAAATGAGTACCTCATGAAAATATATTCTATAATAAATCTAATGATACTAATTTGATACCATAAGTCTTAACATTTTTTTTAAGAAACTCAGTCAAAATTTAAAAAGTTTGACTTAAAACAACTCTATAAATTTATTTATACAGGGACAGGGGGAGTACTAATACATTGTTTAATACCTGATCAGATTATGTTCGAGCTGGATTAATAATGGGCACTTTGCTGTTATGGAAATAGAATATGCTGATGTATATGATCCACCAAGATTTAAACTCATGTAATGCAGGTCGGTTATATCGACGGCCACCATGGAGCATGGACCAAAACAATTTATGATCAGATCATATATATATGGATTATCCTTATACTCCTAGACAAAGGAATCAAACACATTGTTGGGTTCCCAAATCAGCGCCGATCCTTCGCAATCTCCCGTTTTATTTCATTGTCGGGCTAGCTAACAATGAAATCAAAATCATTTCGGGAAGGTACATTGAATTGTTGTTGCCGGTGCACATGAGTGCAGATTCGCCGCTACATTTTTCGTCGCTGTCGGGTTGTCGTTTTGCAGCACGTCGATCCATCTGTCACGCTGAATGTCCCGGCGCCGTGCCACCATTTGACCCTACAAGTTGCCTCCACGAAGAAACGTTGAAACATCGGCATGTTATTTGGAGTTCAGAATGCTTGCAAATCATTGCTGGTCCATCCCACGCACTAGGCCATTATCATTTGATGTTTTGTTTTGTTATAAAACAAATACTGTTGGTCCCTGGCAAAATGGGCTATCTTAATAAACAATAAAATAATGTGATTGGGTGGAAACCGGCCAAACGAACGAAAGGGGTCAGAACGTGGAGCCACATCCATGGTCTGGCCATCCATCCATATATATGATCGCCAGCAGGGCTCATTCTCCTGGACAGCACAGCTCCCTCTTCCATTGTTCCATTAACCAGTCACAAGTCGTGCGCAGTGCGGCTAGCTAGGAGATTGTTGATTCAGTGTAGTTCACCATGCGGAAGATGTGCGCCAACCTAGACCGGGAGGATGGCCTCGACACAGTGCTCGAGGTGCCTGTCCCGGAGCTCCACCAGGAGCCGTCGTCTGGCCACGGCCGGCGCCGGCGACGCACGGTAAAGGCATGGGTGCAGTCGCGCATGGATCAACGCCATCGACAATATGGCGCGCTGCCTTCGCAGGCGGATGTGCAGCTCATGCTCGGGGTGATTGGCGCGCCGCTGGTGCCGCAGCCCGTGGAGGCGAGGAAAGCCATGGCCGGAGAGGACATCAAGGAGGAGCCCCTTGTATGTAACGTTAATTAGCTACCAAATTGGACGATCGGTTCCGCTGAATATATCAACATGTTGATCCTGATCGTGGTGGCTAATAAGAAACATTTTGATTTTTCCAGGAGGTGTCGAAGGCGAAGTACATCGTGGAGCAGTACGTCGCGGCGTCTGGAGGCGAGCCGGCGCTGAGCGCGGCGACGAGCATGTACGCGGTGGGGAAGGTACTGATGAGGACAACCAAGGGGCAGAAATTAGCCAAGACGGGTATGGGCATGGTCCACGGCGGCGGCGAGATTGCCGGTGGCTTCGTGGTGTGGCAGAAGAGGCCGGAGATGTGGTGCGTGGAAATGGTAGTAGCCGGCGGCACCAAGATGAGCGCCGGGAGCGACGGCAAAGTCGCCTGGCGCCAGACTCCCTGGCAGCAGGCCCACGCTTCACGGGGACCCCCGAGACCTCTCCGTCGATGCGTCCAGGTATCTATCAATTGCATCATTTTTCGTGGCATCTTGCATCGAAATCATAAATTCATAATCCTCGCTATCAAGTGTAGAGTAATGTACCGTAGTTTCAATACGCACTGCGCACAGAAGATTCGCGTTCAACTCGAACGTGCGTCCATGTGGCTTTTCTCTCTCCCACGACTACGAGTACACCGTAATTAACTCGTCGATGGCATGTGATGCACGCAGGGTCTTGATCCGAAATCAACGGCAAACCTCTTCTCGACAGCCACGTGGGTCGGCGAGAAGAGCATCGACGGCGACGACTGCTTCGTGCTCCGCGTCGACGCCGACCCCTTAGCTCTACGCGCCCGGAGCAGCACCGACGTCGAGGTCGTCAGGCACGCCGTGTGGGGATACTTCAGCCAGAGGACGGGGCTGCTGGTCCGCCTCGAGGACAGCCACCTGCTGCGCATACGCATGCAGGGCGGGTCGTCGGCCGAGACCGCATACTGGGAGACCTCAATGGAGTCGGCAATCGGCGACTACCACGCCGTCGACGGCATCAACGTTGCGCACGCCGGCCGCACCGTCGTTTCGCTGTCCCGTTTCGGCAGCAGCGCCAACGACCAAGACGACGGCGGCTCCGAGGCCCACGTGCTCGGCAAGAGGACGTGCACGTGCATGGAGGAAACGTGGAGCATCGAGGAGGTCGACTTCAACATCATGGGCCTGTCCACGGAGTGCTTCTTGCCTCCGAGAGACCTGGTATCTTGCAGTTCTAAAACAGTCGAGAAGGAGCATTGCGCTCGCCTTGATCACAGCTGCAAGAAAGACGACGCTGTTGGTACCGTTCCTGCTGCTAAGAGTGCCGTCGTTGGTACTTGCGACCCAGCCGCACTTGACGTCAAGAACAAGAACAGTGATGGCCGTGTCCGTCCGGCCACGGCGAGAAAGGCTCTTGTTCCGTCGGCGACAGGGCTAACCTGGTTTGGGACTGCCAAGGTTGTGGCTGTCGAAACCGTCGACACCGCCGCCGCCGAGTAATTACTGTTACTATGGGCTTGTGCTGTTGTGCACTTGTGCATATGTACATGTTGCGTAGTTGCGGAGGCGTGCGTGTGTTGCGCGCCCCGTCTGCCAGCTGGCGAGAACACCTGTAGTTTCATCTTGCTCTGCATAGTGCACAGTAGGAGATATATAGAACCCGTGGACTTTTTCTCCACTGGAGTTCTACTGTTTTGCATAATTTGCAAGAAATCTTATGTTGTACGGTAACAATTATTGTTTCACTTCTCCTATATCTCAAGTGCCCGAATTTTTTAGATCATTTCAGACATCTAGATTTTAAGATGATTTCAGATAACACTCTTGCACAACCAACCATAAGTAAATTGTTACTTTTGTGATTTGTTATTTGTCTGTGGATGCCACGATGTAAGATTGAGACACATATTCTCCAAGCTCAATCAACACACACTAATAAATAGCAGATTGAGACACTACAACTTAGGCAGTTAATAATGTCGGTAAAAATTAAACCTCATAATCCTTTAAGCCCATTTCAAACAATGACGAAGCAACTATATATGATGCATCAACTTATAAATTTAGGGTTAATTAGATTCAAGTCATTATTACAAATGGCACAATTATAAGAGCTTTCATACTATTCAACTATTCAGGAGCAAGTGCACTACAACAAATATACCCTTCCGTGACGTGTTTCCTACGACAACATGCAGTAATACATCATTGATTTATGACGATTCCTCTAGAAAGTGTGATAATAATTAGCCGGTGGTTGAAATAGTCACAAATAGTAAAAAAAGGTTTTAAGGAAAATCGACCCTTTTGGCCACTAAGTTTGATTTTGGTGTCTGATGGATAACATGAGAATTTGGATTAATGTTGTTTGCTAGTATATAAGATATAGTTCAAAAGAATGCAAGGTGGATGTGGACTTAGACAAAGTTGTGATATCCAGATACTTTAAGCAAGACAGTAGAAGACATGTTGAAGACCTACAAGTTGTGCTAGAAGTTCAAGATACAAGGTGGAAGTGACCTGGACGCGAAGACCGTGAAGAAACAAGATCACTGATGCTGTTTCAGCAGCACCTGATTAGTCCGGTGCCCACTAGAGGGCACCACCGGACGAAGCCATCAACAGGGATGCAAGCTATGCAAGCTAGGGTTTCATAGTATCACTAGGTTAGTCCGGTGCTCAGAAGATGCCAGCACCGGACCAAGTGCCAACATGCCAGTAACAGTCATCAGATTAGTCCGGTATTCATCATGAACAAGCACAGGAAAAGCGTTTGCCACGCGTAAAGTTCCAGGGGCGAAAAACAGCCACAAGATTAGTACAGTGATGGACATCGGACCATGCATTGCCGAAGTGTCCAACAGCTAGTTAACAACTAGGTCGGGACAACCACCGGATTAGTTCGGTGAGTATGCACACAACAACTGCCTTTGCCCAACGGCTAGTTTCTTTGGGCGCTTATAAATACCCCAGTGGCCAGCTATTTTGAGTGCGTTGGAGAAGGCCGCCCGCGATTGAGAGCCCGCCAAAACTTGGCCAAGGCCCTACGAGAAGCAGCGGATATACCACAACCATCATTAGAAGAAGGATGTCAGAAGCTCCGGACGTCAGCACCCGAAGGCTCAAAACCCACCAAGAAAGTGCAGTGGCGGACACCAGCCACGAGAGTATCACCAGCACTCCATCCACGATCAAGTGGGCAGTGGCAGAGATGTTTGCCCACCATCGACGCACGAAGGTGCGAGACCAAAGCCCGCAACCGCGAGCATGGTGGCAGCAACAGGCAAAGCTCCTACCGGAATAACAAGCATGACCGCTCACTGGCCGGGAGAAACACCAGGAACACGCAGGATAGGACACCCCCGGGGATAGATTGTTAGTTTGATCTCTAATCCTAACTGGACCCAATGGCCTAGTTGGGCCTTTTATTCACGCCCTGATCGGGGGCGCCCAGCCCACCATGGCTGGAGGGCACCTGTCCCCCTGCGCTATAAAAAGAGGTGGGGGCCGGCGGCTCTTATCACGAGGTTGACCTGAGCCAAGCTTCCCACCGACATCTAAACCCTAATCTGATTAGAGAGGGGCGTAGCCAGTGACGGGAAGCCACCAGCCGCGCCACCCGCTCCATCGACACCGACGTCTTCACCGCCCTCTTCACCGACCGTCGCTGCCCGTGCACAGACATCACCAACGAACCTGATGGCGTCCGCTGAACCTTCCCCCTCTACGGTGTCAGGTTCAACACCCTCTCCCTTCCATCTCTGTCTCTCTAGTTCTACATGCATTAGGATGTACTACGTTCTTTATCCCGAATAGAACCACTGTACCCGGCTAGATCTATGGTCCTAGTGATTCAACAATTATAACATTGGTACCAGAGCCACGTTTTTCCTAGGGTTTAAGATCTAGAACGGGTAAATGGATTAGAAAAGGAAGAAGGTTAGATCCAGTGCGGGTCTAACAAGAACAGAGGGTTTGGTTGAACCGTAACCCTAACTGGGTTAAGGAAAGATGGTTTGGATGAACCCTAACCCTAACTGGGTAAAAGAAAGAAGAAGGAGGGCTCGGTTTCACGTCTAAACCGAACTCTAAAACCCGCATAACATTTTCGGGAAAAAGAAACAGTAAAACCCTAACCCTAACTTCGATCCCCATCCCAAATTGGTTCAATTCGAGCACCAAAAGAGAACCAAATCCGAAGGGGAAGAAGGGGAAGGGGTGGCCTACCTCGCCGCTGTGCAGCGATACTGCATCGCCGGCGCGCGGGAAAAGAACGCCGAGCTGGGGGCGCTGCTCACCGGGCTCTGGCCAAAGGGGCGCCGCAGCCAGGCCGCTCGACGGTGGCGCGCTCACCCGCTGGGGAGCACGCACGCCGACGAGGGGGCCGGCGACGGTGCCGGCGCTCCACCGATTCGTCGCTCGACTCGCTCGGTTGCGGCTGGGCTGCGCTGAGGAGAGAGAGAGAGAGAGAGAGAGAGAGCAAAGTGAAGAATGGCCGCTAGGGTTCGGGTCGGACGGCCGCGGTGGCGTTTTATTCGAGCGATATCGCCGCTCGGGCGTCGGATCTGCATGGATAGCTCAGATCGAGTGGGCTGCCTTTCGGCCCAGGCGGGCGAGGGCGCGAGGCCGAAATCCCGACCCAGGCCCAGGTTGCGGCCTGGGCGCGGGGAAGAGCGCGGGATAGTGCGTACGCGGGCGTGGGCCATGGGCCGCTTTGCCGTTTTGGGCCATAGGAATAGTAAAGAAATGAATCAATTTTTCATTTTTTCTTTTTCCAGTAAATGTTTATTTCCTGGAAATTGATTAATGGCTTAAAGAAAATAGAAAAAAGAATTTCCCTATGGGTAAAATTTAAGAAAATGAGTTTATTTTTTTCCGCTGCGTATTTAAAGATGTTATTTTCATTATTAAATTTGAACCAACAGGAGAATTTAATTTTAAAAATGGATATGTTTTAATTGATCATAATATTGTTATTATTATGACCAACGTTGATTAATGGCAATATTATGATGTTTTGTCTTGCATTAATTCTATTTCTGCCCAACGGTGATGTAGAATTAATGTAGAGAACAATTATATGTTTTAATTTTGACCAACGTTGAAACTAAGGCATGCAATTGTTATTGTTATTATTTATGTTCTCACACTATTTGAATTGTGTTTTCAGGCGGATACAACTTGATGAGTTGTATCAAAGAGATCCACACTCTCAAAGGTGATAACTACATTGAGTGGAAGAAAAAGATCGACCTGGCCTTCATCTTGGCTGAGGTGGACTAGGTAGTCACCACACCGTGTCCCACAGAGCCTGTGGCATCGGTGAGGGAGACAAACAAGGCTAATGCCGCTTGGGCAACCAAAAAGATGGATTTTGCATCCCAAAGAATGTCCTATGACCTTGAGCATAGGAAGTGGGTTACTGCCAACAAGAAGTGTTTGGCTGTAATAAAGAACATGATTGAGCCTGTAATTGTGGGCTCAATCCTAGAGTGTGACACCGTCACCGAGTATATCGAAAGAATAAAGAGTCAGTTCATTGGCTCTTCAAAGACATATGCTACCCAGCTGATAAAGCAGCTAGTGACAGAGAGGTACTCAGGTAATGGTGGCATAAGAGAGCACATACTAAGGATGAGCAATCTGGCATCCAAGCTAAAACCAATGGATCTAGCTCTCAAGGATGAGTTCCTTATTCATCTGATTTTTGCTTTCTTGCCAAAAGAGTTTGACACCTTTGTTGTCAACTACAACATACAGCCCGAAAAGTGGGACATGGAGAGGCTCATGGCTATGTGTGTGCAAGAGGAGGAGAGAATGAAAGCTGCCAATGGTGGCACTATCAATTATCTGAAAGACAACAAGAAACAGAATAATAATGCTAACTTCTCCTCAAAGTCAAAGGGAAAGGGTCCTATGCTGCATAAGCCTCAGCAGAACCAGTTTACAGTAGAGAAAGACCAATGTCTCTATTGCAAGAAGACGGGACATTATAAGAAAAATTGTCCCGATTACTTAAAGATGATCATGGCAAAGAAAGGTGAGAACATTATTACATTCATAAATGAATCCCTATATGTACAGTATTCGAAATCTACTTTGTAGATTGACTCAGGTGCAACTGTTCATGTTGCTAATTCTTTACAGGTATTCCGTTCGACGAGGACTACGGAAAGAAGCGAAAGACACGTTAAAGTCGCAAATGGAGTCCGAGCAGAAGTTGAAGCCATTGGCGATCTTTCTCTAGAGCTTGCTGATGGTTTCAAACTTATACTTAGAGATGTTCTTTATGTTCCCTCGTTACAGAGAAACTTGATTAGTGTTTCATGCTTGGACAATGATGGATATGATTGCCATTTTGGAAATGGCAAATGTAAGATAACATTTAATAATGCATGTGTTGGTCTTGCTATCTTACAAAATAAGCTTTATTTGTTATCACTATGTGATGATGTGAATGTTGTATGCGATGATGGGAACGTTGCGTGCGACAATGTATT